TGGTGATGTAGGGGACTGAGGAAAAGAAAGTTAGAGGTGTGTGAGTGAAATGCTTAGGAATGAGTAATTGGAAAAAGCTGTGTTTGCTGAATAGAAAATTGTGTTTCTTTTTAACTAACAGTAAAAGATGTGACTCTTGATCTTTTTTTGAGCACGCATGCATGCACATACATGCGTGCATGTGTGTCTGGTGTATACACGAGTGCATGGCCACTGGTGTACATGTTTGCATACATGTAGAGGCCAGAAGACAACATTAGGTGTTATCCTTGGGAATGTAGTCCATCTTGTTTGATACAAGGTCTTTCATTGGCCTAAGGGTTCTGTGTCTTCATCTTCCAAGTGCTGCAAGAAGTATACCATACCACATTTGGCATTTTCACATGTGTCCTGGAAATCAAACTAAGATCCTCCTGCTTGCAGGGTAAGTGCTTTACAAAATGACCCATCCTTCCCCATACCCTTTGAACAATGCTTAATCATTAATGTCCAAAGGAATCATGATAATTGGCTTTTAGGAGTCAATCTTTCCTAATACCAAGTTCATAGGTAGCAAGTATTTGCTCTAATGATTAAGAGGAGTTTGTGTCTAAAGTAGATAAGGCAGACCTTGAAACTGTAGAAACTACTTGGAAAGCTAAGAAAAGAAATCTAAGCCAAGATAAAAATCTAAACTTCAGAGAAAAGGAGATCAGTACTGCTACTAAGTGATGCAGGAAGCATGGAAGAAAGCCAAGAGTTAGGACAAGAAATGAATTTGCTTGCATATATGCGACTGCAAAGATCAGCAAGTCAAACCAGGCACGGTGGCACAAGCCTATAATCCTAGCATTCTTCCAGGCAGAGGCAGGTGGATCTCTGTTTGAGGCCAGCCTGGTCTACAAAGTAAATTCAGGACAGCCAAGGCTATACAAAGAAACCTGCCTCAAAAAACAAAAACAACAAAAAGGTCAGCAAGTCACTTGGAGATACTCAACAGTTAAAACTAGCTTCCAAAGACCATGTCAATCCCAGTACTGGTGAGGTGAAACCAGTAAGACCAGATGTTAGAGGCTATCCTTGCTTCTCAATCAAGTTCAAGGCCAGCCTGAACTATATGAGTTTGTGAGACCTGTGAATACACAGAGATATCACATATGAAAATGCCCAATGAAGTCTAGACCCCTCTGACCTTCTACTCCAGTCTGGCCAATTCATCTTATCTTTAGTCTTCAAGAGAGGACTTCAGAATAATTATCCTATATAAAGAAAGGTTCCTTACAACATACCTGGTTAACTTCTACTCATCTTACCAATGCTCAGGTTTCTTTTTCCCAAATTCTACTTAGTTCACAGGAGGAGAGTGGCACCTGAATCATACCTTTTTCTTTCTCTCCATAGCCAGTTTTTAGCACCATGCCTAAAATAGCACATACTTGAAAGACAGACAGAAAGAGACTTGGCATGTATTCAACACTACTTGGAAGGTGCTGTGTCTTCTTAGAGGTGACCACTGAAGCAATGCGCTTGGATAAGATTTCCAAAGGAGAGAAGAGAAAATTAGCCCTTCTATAAATGTCTGCTACTCAGTTTCTTTCTCCTCAAACTCACCTGAAAACATGTTGCAATCTGATTCTTTGAAATCTTAGTAACTGTCAGGCCCTGAAAAGCAACCAGCCTAAAAAAAATTAAGAATAAGAAAAGAGGGTTCTCTTGTAAGATGGGCTCCCCAAAGCAGTTTCTCACTCTCAACAATACTGACAATTTTGGCCTGGCAATCTCTACCCTTAAAGGATGTCTTCCATACAGTTCAGATGTCTAGAAGCATCATTTAATACATTGATGGGAACACCGTAACGGGGGACAAAACAAGGAAATCTCTGCTAAAGGTTTCAGATGTTGTGGTTTACAAAGGGTCTCACTCTATAGAGCCCTAGTCAATGTGAGACCTACAGAGATGTGCCTGCCTCTGCCTCCAGACTGCTGGGATTAAAGGCATGGGCCACCATACTAGCTTTTTACTTGTTTTAAATTACATTTATTTGTTTGTTTATTATGTATGCACATGCATGAGTGCATACCAAATGGGTTGTCTTAGTGAGGCTTTTATTGCTGTGAAGAGACACCATGACCATGGCCACTCTTATAAAGGAAAACATTTCATTGATGCTGGGAGGATAGCAGCGTGCAGGCAGACATGGTGCTGGAGAAGGAGCTGAGAGTTCTACATCTTGATCCACAGGCAGCGGACTAGGCCTAGCTAGAGCATATATGAAGGAGCTGAGAGTTCTACATCTTGATCCACAGGCAGCAGACTAGGCCTAGCTAGGGCGTATATGAACCTCAAAGGTGGCCCCCACTGTGACACACTTCCTCCAACAAAGTCACACCTACTCCAGTCAGGCCACACCTCCTAACAGTGCCCCTCCCTGCAGCCCATTCAATGAGTCTATGGGGGCCATTCCTATTCCCACAACCACAAGGGCCCTGGATCTGGATTAGCATGGGTCATTAGGCTTGGCAGCAAGCACTTTCACCCTCTGAGGCTTCTTAGCAGCTCTCTAGCAGCACCTGTGAGCTTTACTACCCACCGCGACTCCACCAAAATTATCGCTAGGCTTTGCCAAATGTTTCTTCTAAGATAAAATTCCCCTCTAGTTAAAAACCATTTCCTAGGCTGGAAGGATGGCTCAATGGTTAAGAGCATATACTGCTCTTGCAGAGGAGCCCAGTTTGGGTCCCAGCACCCACATCAGATGGCTCACAACTATCTTTAACTCCACCTCCAGGGCATCCAAAGCCCTCTTCTGGCCTACACCTACAAGTGACACACATTCACACAAACATACACATATAAACATAAATAAAAACTATTTCCCTAAAGCTAACTGAACTCACAAATTCCTAAATTCTTTCCCTGACATCTATACATGTATTCCATTAATTTATTTGTTCCCCACTGACTGAGTCTATACATTAAATTGTGCTTACAAATTTATAAGCAATTTGCTTTAACAGTTAAACAAAATGGGTAGAAATCTCTTAACTGCCAGGCAAATCACAGAGTAATTTAGTCTAAATGCATTACCATACAGCAATCGTGAAAGGTAAACTAATACAGTATAATAAAATTAGGAACAGTCAATTCCAAAAGCCCCACATAAAAATAAAGAGCTCTGTTCCATAGTCAAAATACCTAATCTTTTAACTTCCCTTCTGCAGAAGGCACTAGGTTAGCATTGTGTAAAGAGAATTTTATTCATCTAAATTATTTACAAGTTTTAAACAAACACACATGTCAGATATGTGCCTGTTTCCTTTGGTAAAATTGAGATAATTATAGAAATGGTCTTATTAGGTTGTTACAGAATTGAGGTAAAGTATGTAGAATGCAGAAAGGTGCCTGGCATATACATATTAAGTGTTAAACATTACCATGGGTCATTTGTAAACACATAAGAAAACAGAAGCATGTCTTGGATGTTGTGTAAACACACTAGAACCAAATAATAAACTTGAATCCTGATGTCCTGGGTTCATATTTCCCTTCCTTAAATGTTTTATTTGAGCTTCAATAATCTCACTTGTAAAATATGAATAATCCCTGTCTTTCTTTATATTATTACTTTATATGGTAAACAATATTAAAATGGATCATGATTATATATAAAGTATTGTTTTAATTAAAAGAAAATCTATGGAGACAATTCTGTTTATTTAGTGAGAGCGGGGCCACATGTGAAGGTCAGAGGACAACAGAATAGGTTCTCTCAGTCCACTATGTAGGTCCTGAGGTCTGAACTTGGCATCATCCGACTTGGCAGCAAATGCCTTTATCTGCTGAGCCATCCTGCTGGCCCAGATAATCTAAAATTTAAAATAAAATATCCTCGGGGTTTTATTTTTTTAATGATTTCCGTTTGTGGTATTAGACATGCACAATAACCCTCTAATAATAGGCGTACATTAAAGCCACTGGAAGGGATTTGGCCATAACCTATTCCACCAAGAACATGGTAGAGGGCCCCTAACTAACCTTTTCTTTTCGGTTGTGGATAAATCATCCTTTTGAACATGGAGAAGATATGTTGAAATAAATGGGACTTGTAGAATCAGTAATAGCCCCAAAGTTTTAAATCAGTTTGATGTGTCTATTTTTAGATAGAAAAATCACTGCCTTCCAATGAGCCACTTCAAAGTCATCAAACATTGCGCGCGCTGGACTTTACTTATTAGGAAGAAATGCCTTTTTAACAAATGGCTTTTTATAAGTGAAAGTTGCAACATCAATTACATGCGTGTCAGGTGTTGAGAGAGAGCGCTCTCCGCTCCTGCCAAATACGCAGAGAAAAACACTTTCCTAACTATTTAGCTAAAAGCTACCTCGCCAGCAAAGCCTCTGAGGTAGTTTCGGGTCCCCGGTATGGGTCTCCACAGGATTTCAGAGGCGTGCTGAGAAAGGTGAAGCCGCTCTTCCGCAACGCCTTCCGACAAATCCCAAGAATCCTCTTTCGCCAGGGTCCCGCAGGCGCCGGCTCCTTCCCGCTACCCCCGGGAAGGGCTGCAGCTCCAGACAGGTCCTTTGGGGTCGCGCTAGCGCAGCCCGCGCGGCCTCGCACGTGGCACCGGAGGAAGGCTCGGCCCCCGGGGCAACTGCTCTGATTGGTCACTGGCTGCCAGGCCGGGAACGCACCTGAGCCGAGTCCGAGCTAGGAGAGCGCTGAAGCAAAGAGCAGCCACGCGGGCAGCTCTCCGACTGCGGTCCCGCACGGCGGCCCTCCAGCGCGGACACCAGCCCGCCGCGCCAGCCCGCGCGGGCCTCCGTGTGCCGCCCCCCTCGTCCCCCTGTAGAGTAGCTCTCACCTCAGCGCTCGTGGCGCTTCCACCTTCAGCTTTTTGGGCTTCGGCTCCTCAGCAGCTGCCATCTTCGCTCTCTCACCCCCAGTTTGGCCCTACCGCGCGTCCCGCCCCTCCGCCCGGTGACTCCGCCCCCTCGCCGCGCCACGCCCCATTTCTCCTAAGCCCCGCCCCCTCAGCTCCACCCATTGGCTCTCTGCACCGCTGCTGTCCCGTCCCTCCAGGGCCTAGAGTACTACGGTAAGGGACCCCAAACGGAGTTAGGCTGCGGGTGAGCGCCTGCGCTCAGCGAGAGCCAAGCTCCCTGTTCTAGCAGACCCCGAGTAACGTAGAAGGTTTAGATCCTCAACCCCTGGAGACACCGTCCCTCTCGCTGAACCCCTTTCCGCTCTTTGTGTCTTTCTAGTCCCGACCTCCTCGGCGCCTCTGCGGCTGCTAGTCAGGCAATCTGTTGGGCACTCCAAGCGCGGGGTCCTCGCGGCCTTCTCTGCTGCTTCAGCTTCGGTTCCGAGAGGACCCGGCACCGACTCACTGACTTGCCTAGGTGTCGGGGTAAGTGCGAGGGCGGGAGTCTGCGGGCTGGAGACATCTCAAAAGCCGGGGAGTAGACTCCATAGCTGGGCTCGCCTCTCTAGTCTGTGCTGCAGGAGCGTCCCTGCTGGTGTGCGCCAGGGCCGCGCCTCCCCTACGCCCGGCCTTCCGGGCTTTCTAGTCAGCTGGGCCGGAAGAGAGCTTGTGCATCTGTCACGCTGAGTTCTCGAACCCTGGACCCCAGCCGCGAAGGGCGGGGGTGGGGTTGGCCTTGGAGGGCAAAGCCCCCGCTGAAGCTAAGAGAACGACCTGATTATAGGGTGGGGTGGTTTCTGGATGAGCGAGCCTGGGATGGGAAGACAGTGAGGACGGTCTTGCACTTTCTCACGACACAGGTGACAGGGCTGTAAGCTGAGAAGGTGGCCTGGTGTGCATGTCATGGATTTGTTTGGTCCTCAAGTTTAACTTCATGGTTGAGAAGTTGTGTCACTGTAAAAAACTGGCTTCCTCACAGGAAGAGAAAGATTTGGAGGGTTTTATTTTTCGGCATTTGGGATTTTGACTTGGAAACACATTACACAGAGAAAGAAATTGCCTGCAGCCAAATTTACAAATCTTCCTTTGTGTTGAAAGAAAAAAAAATATGTCGCTTTTTCTTAGAACAAGACCTTTTACCTACTTCCTCGGTGCCATTATCTTCTGCTTCTCAGTGGCCTCCTTCTTTTAAACGTTTTTCTTGCATTTGCTTCTTTGTTTGTTGTATGTGTGCTGCGTCTCACAATACATTGTAGAAGTCAGAGGACAACTTGTGGGCCCCAGTTCTCTTCCAACCATGAGGATCTTGGGGATCAAACTCAGATCCTTAGGCTTGGTAGCAGCCACCTTTTCCTGGTAAGCCTCTCAATCTCCTTATCTTTGTTTTACCTACTTGATGCTTCTATCCAAGCACCACACTGCAATGTCGTTTCCAACACCCTGCTGAACCATCACTAAAATTACTCTAACCAAGATCATCAGTGTCCACTTGACATTAAATCATATATTCCCTGTGTGGATTAAAAAAACTCTTGGAGTTGGAGAAGTAGCTCACCTGTTAAGAGTACTGGCTGCACTTTCAGAGGACCCAAGTTTAATTCCCAGCACCCACATGGTGGCTAACAACTCTCTGTTACTCCAGTCCCAGGAGGATATATGACACCCTCTTCTAGCCTTCTTGGGCATAGCACACACAGTGCACAGATATGCATTCAGACAGAACACCCATACATATAAAATAAAATTTTAAAGAAAAAAAAAAAACTACCTGTGAGGCAACAGAAGTTAAACCCTTTTTGTGCATAAGACATACAGTGTTCTTTTTTTTCTTCTTCTAAATTTGTGTGGCAGGATCTGAGGGATGATGCTGAAGAGATGGCTCAGTAGTTAAGAGCATTTGCTACTCTTGCAGAAAACCCAAGTTCAGTTCCCATCACCTACATTGGATGGCTCATAACCACCTATAACTCCAGAGGATCTGCTAGCTCTTCTGGCCTCTGAAGGCACCTGCACTCATGTGGCATAAACTTACAGAAATACATACATATAAAAACAAAATTAAATTTTTAAAAATTGGGTTGTGAGCTGCCTGAGATAGGTGCTGGGAACTGAACTCTGGTCCTCTACATGTTTTTAATCCCACTCCTTTGTATCTCCAGCTTCAGGCGATCCATTGCCCTCTCCTGGCCTTTCATGAGACTGCACTTACAGGCACAAAGCCACACTTAAATACACATAATATATACATTTAAATTAATGGAAAAGATCTTATCAAAACAGTTTGTAGGGAACGATATGACTGGCTGAGGGGTAAGAGCCTGGAGTTTTAAAAGATCATTGGTAGCCGGGCTCGGTGGCACATGCCTTTAATTCCAGCAGAGGCAGGCAAACTATGAATTTGGGACCATCCTGGTCTACAAAGTGTTCTAGGACAGCCAGAGCTACACGGAAAACTCTTGTCTTGAAAAGAAAAAAAAAGGAAAGGAAAGGAAAATTGTATAACATTTGGTTTTTTAAATTATTTTTAATTGTGTATATGTTTGCATATGGGTATGTGCACATGGGTGCAGTGTCCATGGAGACCAAGGGCTGTGGATGCCCTGGAGCTGGAGTTATGATCTGCTTGACATAGGTGCTATTCAAGCCAAGGCTTCTATGTGTAATCACCCTGGCTGTCCTGGAATTCCCTTTGTAGATCAGGCTGGCCTTGAAGTCACGGATATGCCTCTGCCTCTGCCTCTGCCTCCCAGGTGCTGGGATTAAAGATGTTTACCACCCACCAGAATCTGAGTCTCCTGTGAGAGCATGTTGGAAATGAGTCATCTCTCCAACCTGGAAAAAAAAACTTTTTTTTTTTAATTAAAAAAAAAAAACTTTCTTTTTAAAATTCTAACAGGTTGACCTCTTTGTACCAACAATACTTTAGATACTAAAATTCTCCCACAACCCTTCCCCATTTTTAAAATTCTGCTTCAGCTGCATCTTAGTCTCTTTTTAGTTCCATTCCTTGACTCACCAGCTATTCAAATACTGGTTTTTCTTTCATATATTTCTCTTGCTATGTTCATAATTTCTTTGGATATGATTCTTTATATTCATAATCCCCTTTAACAACATCTCAATCTCTTTGAAGCACTAGACTTAAATACAGTGATTGAATATATTTACTTGAATCAAATATATTAGGAATTGGGTCAAATTATATAGGACTAAATACTAGGACTAGGACTAAATACTTCAGCTTTCATCTTATTTCTACACAGCATACCCCAAATTAAATACATTTCTCCTCAAAGCCTGTCCAAATAACTCATTGTTCATCATTTTATTCTATTCTTTTTTTGTTTGTTTGGTTGGTTGGTTGGTTGTTTTGTTTTTCAAGACAGCATTTCTCTGTGTAGCCTTAGCTGTCCTGGACTCACTTTGTAAACCAGGCTGTGAACGCACAGAGATCTGCCTCTGCCTCCCAGAGTGCTGGCATTACAGGTGTGTAACACTGCACCCAGCTTATTCCATCTTCTTGTTAACCTTCTAATGTTATAATTCAGGTTCCTACTATTCGTGTGTGTGTGTGTGTGTGTGTGTGTGTGTGTGTGTGTGTGTGTGTGTACTTCAGGCTCCTACTCTTCCATTGTGTGTGTGTGTGAGGGGGTTGTATGAGTGCATTTGCTGCTGAAAAGGCCAGAATTAGGCATTGGATCCCCAAGGACTAGAGGTACAGACAGTTGTAAGAGTACTGGATGTCAAACCTTGATCCTCTGGATGGACCCAGTGCTCTGAACTGTCAAACCATCTCTCCAGCCTGTCACTCATCTCCTAACTGTCACATAAGTCAGTGCCTTGTCCAGTTTCCATAGTGTAATTAGTAAAATCTCTCTAGAAGTGTAACTCAGATTTGCTTATTTTCCTTCAAAATAAAAAAATAAGATGAAATGTGGGAAATGACTTTACATTACACTGAAAATAATAAACAAGGCTGTCCTTACCCATGACCAATGGTTGTTTACATGGCCTTACCTTTTATCCCAGCATTTTTTCCACCTTGAGAGTTGCAAACTTTGTTTTGGATTTCTTTTAGGTGTTCTTTTTTTTATTGGTAAACCTTGAAGATTTCACTAGCTTACTGTATTTCCCCTATCATAGGAATTGTTTGCTTCTGAAAGTTCTAAGTATAGAAATTTTTAGTTCATCCTCATATCCCCAAAAATGCCTAGTTTATAAAACATAGAACAGCTTGTTGAATGGGGAAAAAATGGCCAAGATTCTGGTTGAGAATCAGAGGAGCTAAATTCTTGGCTATCATTGGTGTGTGTGTGTGTGTGTGTGTGTGTGTGTGTGTGTGTGTGTTAGAGTGTTTGTGTGGGTGCATGAAACTGCAGAGGTCACCATTTGTGTGAGGACCAGAAATTTAAGTTGGGTGTCTTTCTCTATGGTCCTCCACCTTGTTTGCTGAGACAAGTCTCATTGAACCGAGAGCTCTCAGACTGGCTCTGAGGACCCCCAGCCCCTTGCTCCACTGTTAGAGTTACAGAAGGGAACTACCACCTCCTGTCTAAATTCAGGCTCTCACACAGGCACTTTACAGACCTGGCCATATTCCCATCCCCTATTCTTTCACTTTATACATAGGCCATCCTATGCCTCCATTATGCCTTGTGTAGAAGGAGCATCTGTGTGGTGACTGACTGCACAGCAAGTGAGATGTTGAGGCAAGGGGTTGCTTAAGCCCATGAGTTCAGCAACATAGACTGTATCTAAAAAGAAAAATAGAACATACTTTATGGTTTAGACACTTGCCTTCCAAGGATATTTTGATTATTGTATTGCTGAATGTCCATTTAGTAAAGAGAATTCATGAAGCAATTAAACTACAATCAAAACTCTGACAGGTGTGTATTGCAATTCAGAGTCACACACAAAATAGTTATGGTGATGGTCCCTGTGTAGTTTTCTAAGGAAATACAATAAGCATCAAAGTAACTGCAGCTACTGAAAGCATAAATGTCTAAAGAAATGGGCTGATTTTTACTACTTCATGAGGTGTTCCTTGTTATACGCATTAGGCAACTGGTCATAATATGGATAAAAAAGCAACTAAGGTCTCTTTTCATATTATAGAAGGTTAAAATAGGTTTTAAAACCGAGTGCTGTTGCGTGCGGGATGTGTTATGCTCTCACCTCAGCACAGAGGAGCACAACAGTAAATCCATTGGCTGGTTCGATTACACTGAACTCTGAGCCCTGAACTGCTGCCAATAAAAACAACTTGGATGGAAACTTTCCTGGAAAGAATTTTCCACCAGCTTAAGAAAGTGAGTGGAAATCTAGCTCTAAAATAAACTAGTCAAAAGCAAGAGACTGTTATGATAATGGAGAGCCGCTACTGTGTCACTTATTTTCTTTTTCTACTTTAATCTATTAATCTTTCTCATCACAAAAACTGGAGTATGTTTTGTTTTCTATATGGAACATATCCTTCAGCTCTTTATCTTAAATCAAGCCAGAACAGCACATTGACTATACTATCTACAGTGACATCACAGCCAGGTGTGGGCATTTAAATTAATTCATTAGCTTTATAAAGTTGCACTTATTTGCAGTTTTCAAGTTGGCCTGGACTACATAGTGAGATTGTCTCAAAAAATAGCTAACATTTGAATATATTAGTTGTCTTTGATACATTTTTATTGTTTCTTTTCTGAGGCAGGGTCTCATTTATCTTGAACTGACTTGAGTTTACTGTGTTCATGGTCCAGGCTGGCCTTGAACTCACCCTGATCTTCCTACCTGCACTTCCCAAGTGCTGGGATTTACATGTATGTAAATCCACTCCCAACTTCATATGAGCTACATTTCTAGTACTCAATAGTTATATGTATACCATATTGGACAGCACAAGTAAAGGCCATGTCCTCCACTGCTGAAAACCTGATTAGCACTGTATCCAAATACATGCCTGATAATTAGTGTATAAGAGGTAAATTAAGAGCAGGAGCTCAGAATTCAAATGTCAAGTTTGGATCTTATATCTGACACTGTGTTGTCTACAGTAATTGACCTTTCTGCAACATTTGTCATAATATAAAACGAAAGTAAAGCAGTTAGACATTTTTCTGTCATTCCCCTATTGCATAGTCTACAAACATTTATCTGTTGTTTCCTTCTTTATGTTTTTAAGACAAGGTCTCAGTCATTCCAGACAAACCTCAAGCTTGTTATGCAACACACATGATAAATACTATGGCCCAAAGCAACTTGGGAAAGAAAGGATTTATTTGGCTTACACATCTTGATCACAGGTGTTCATTAAGGGAAGTCAGGGCAGAAACTGAAGTGGGAGCAGAGGTAGGAACCATGGAGGAACACTGCTTAGCAGCTTGCTCAGCTTCTCATATTTCCCAGAACCACCTTCCTAGGGGTGGCACCACCCGTGATGGACTGGGTCCTTTTACATTAATCATTAATCAAGAAAATGGCCAAAAGAAGTCCATAGAACAGTCTAATTGGGGCAGTTCCTCAATTGACATTTACCTAGGTTATGTCAAGTTAACAGAACTAACTGGCATTTTGCACTAACTGGTATATTGCACTGATTAACTATCCAATGGTAAAACAAACTTCCATTCTTGGAATAAATATACTTTTTAAAGTTTGTTGCTGAATTTAGTTTTCTAGAATTTAGAACTTCTCCATCTGTGTTTTTAAGTGATATTCATCTGCAGTTACTTATATTGCCTTTGTCTGGTTTTTATGACAGGGGAATATGAAAAGGATTTTTTTTTCATACAATACATTTTGATTATATTCTTTCTCCTCCCCCTATCCAGGTCCTTCCCACCTCCCTACCCACCCAACTTCTCTTTCAAAAAGAACAAAAAAAAGAAAAAAAGAATGAAATAAAATCAGACAAAAACACCAAAACTAGAACAAAACAAAAAGCACACATACACATTGTGTTGGCCAACTACTCCTGTGCATGGTGCCTGTCCTACCCACTGATACTCTGTTGCTGAAAAATGATTTTCCCTTTCATAGCAAGTATCAGTTGCAAATAGCTTCTTGGTTAGAGGTGAGACTTGGTGTCTACTTCTTTTTCTCTGCCCTGAGATTTGGTCTGGTTTGAATTTGTGGGGGTCTTTATGTGGTGTCTCTTCGAGTTCATATTTGTATCAGCTCTGTTGTGTCTGGAATGTGCTGTCTCCTTGAAGTTATCCATCGCTTCTGGCTCTTAGAATTTTTCTGTCTCTTCTCCATCGTTTCCTGAGTCTTGAGGGGAGGGGTGTGATGAAGACACTCTGTGTAGGGCTGAGTGCTCAAAGTCTCTCACACTCTGTGCATTGGCCAGCTATGACTGTGAATTACCGTCTACCATAACTGCAGTTCATGTGGACAGGAGTATAGTTGTACTTACGCTTTTTCCCCTTTTTTCCATCACAGAAAATGATCCACAGTCTGTTTCTCATCAACTGCTCTGGGGATATATTTCTAGAAAAACACTGGAAGAGCGTTGTAAGCCAGTCTGTGTGTGACTATTTCTTTGAAGCTCAGGAGAAAGCTGCTGACGTTGAGAATGTGCCACCTGTCATTTCAACTCCTCACCACTACCTCATCAGTATCTATCGGGAGAAGCTCTTCTTTGTGTCTGTCATACAGACAGAAGTGCCACCTCTCTTCGTAATTGAGTTTCTCCATCGAGTTGCTGACACTTTTCAGGTTTGTATCAGTCAAACTATTGTAACTAAATCACCCACGATAGTTGGAGGAGAGACACACTCTCACATTTGTTACTTAAGTTTTTGATGTACACTGTCTGACTTTTCATTCAACTAAAAATAATGTTATAAACACGCCTATAGAATATGCAGTGGCACACATTGCTGCTCTGGTCATTGTTTCTTCTTGCTGTTGTTTTTTGTCTGTGGCAAATTGTATCATTAGGAAACAACAGTGTCCTCCTCTTAGGATCATCAGTTTTGACTGATCATGAGTTCTTCTGTAATTACATTTTCTATTTTCCCTTGTTTTGATGAATAAACCAAATAGCTTAAAACTTTATATGTGTTTGGGAGTGGGTTAATCAGGGAAAATGAAGTTTATAGTTCACATCTCAACTTCATGTTTCAATACTTTCTGGCATGGCATATAATCGAAATCAATTTAGTGTAAACACAATAAGAAAATATTGACGAGAAATGTTAGGCCTTCCTTGGAGAATGTTTTCATATCTGTATATTTCTAGCATCGTAAATCATGAGTTTTATTAGTTTACTCTTCAGAACAAGGGGTATTATATAAAAGCAAGCCTTTCTTTATGCCTTCAGTTGTTCAATATCATGAATGTTTTGTTAGGACTACTTTGGTGAGTGTTCAGAGGCTGCAATTAAGGATAATGTGGTCATTGTATATGAGCTCTTGGAAGAAATGTTAGACAATGGATTCCCACTGGCTACTGAATCTAACATTTTGAAAGAACTGATTAAGCCTCCAACAATTCTACGTTCTGTCGTCAATTCTATTACAGGTATGAAAAATGAAAATACTATACTAAGAACTGGTCCATTGAAACTCTTGAACGGTTCATTTTTGCTCATGGGATAGACTATTAGGCTAGTCTAATTTGGCCAAAATTAAAGTTACCAATAATGTTTAAATGAGTATATTTTCTTTTTTATTTTTTTCTCTATCTCCCCACCGTGTGTGTGTGTGTGTGTGTGTGTGTGTGTGTCTGTGTGTGTGTCTGTGTGTGTGCATGCCTGCGTGCGTGCGCGCACGCGCGCATGCACACGCAAACCATAGCATGGGAATGGAGGTCAGAGGACAGTTTGTGAGAGTTGATTCTCCTACTTTAACATGTGGATTCTAGAGATTGAATCAGGTTTTCAGGCATGCAGCAAATACCTTTACCCACTAACCAATCTGGCCAGCCCCCCTTTTATTTTTGGGGGGGAAGACCAATAACAAACACAGATAATAGGAGATCAGGTGTAGCTCGCATGTATAATCATAGCACTTAGAGGCTCACCAAGGAATTGCTATGTTCAAGGCCAATCTGGGATACGGAATGAAAAAAATATGTTTCTTTTATTGAAAAAGGCTCAGTCTTGCAGAACAAAGGACTTTTAGAATTAGGGTATAGCTCATTTTTCTATTACTGGGTTCAGCGCTCAATTCAAAAAAAGAAAAAAGAAAAACTAGTAAGTAAAAAATTAGTTCATGTGTAGAACTCATGCATATTGGGTGTTATGCTTTTTTAAAACTTAAGTTTTCAATTTAATTCTGGACCATATCTAGAAATTAAGCATGGTCAGGTAATCATTTGGTGTTTTAAAAGCCTTCTAGAAAGAATAGGCTAAATGGTACAAGCGTTTAATCCCAGCATTTAGGAGATAAAGGCAGGTGGGTCTCTGAATTTGAGGCCGGCCTGGTCTACACAGTGAGTTCCAAGCCAGCCAGTGCTATACAATGGGACTGTGTCCAAAAGAGAAAGCCTTCTAGAGGAAGATTGATGGAATGTTATATGCCACTCCAGCTCTATTGCCCACGGTCAGCAACTCTAGTCATCCCATTACCATCAAGAGAAATTCTCTCTGGGAAAATAGTTTAAATATCTAAACACTTTAAAGAACAATTTTGTATTTCATGGACATTGTAGTGAGGCACTGGAAATCTCCCATAATATTAAGGGGCGGAGGGAAAGCACAAACTCAATAAAAATTTAGATATCTATAAATATTTATAAAGAGAAACATTCTAAAATGTTTATATTGATTATCTCTAGCTAAGGAAACACCTTTACTTTTCTTTATACATTTTTAAATATGTATATGAATAAATGTGAATGTGCACGGAGACATACAGGTGTTGCATCTATCACCCAAACCTGATTCCCTTTCTGAGACAAAGACTCTGAATCTGGAGCTGGGCTGGTAGCCAGCAAACCCTAGCCATCCTCTCTCTACCCCCGCAGTGCTAAGGTCACAGGCATGTACGCAGCCACACCCATCTTTAGGTGGGTGCTGGGATCTGGACTCAGATCCTCATGTTTGTGCAACAACCACTCTTATCCACTGAGCCATTGCTCCAGCCTGTCTCATACTTTTTAACTTTAAAAAAATGTATTTAATAAGAAAAATTACTAATGTATAGTGTAAAACTATAGCATGGCTTGATAATGTATAAGAGAAGGGTTCAGGCTGGATGGGGTGGTGCATATTTGCAATCCCAGCTTCTAGGGCAGCCAGTTGTGAGTTCATGGCTAGCCTGGGATACAGAGTAAGAAAATATAATACACTGGGGATGTAGTTCATTCTTGAAGTCTTGCCTGTTATACTAAGGCCCTGACTGTGTTTCCTAGTGCCACACACACGTACACATACCAAAGAGTGGTGCAATAGGTGAAGTCATAGGTGGCCAGAATACAGGGCCTTGAAGACTCAGGCTGGAGAACAAGAGAAATTAGGACATGTTGAGAAAAAGCAGAGTGGAAGGCGTGAGTGTGCTAGGCCCTCCTACAGAAGTAGAGCTGTTTGTAATTGAGCACTGAGGGACACACTGTTTTGGTTTTTCCAGACAGGGTTTCTCTGTGTGTGGCCTTGGCTGTTCTGGACTCACTTTGTAGACTACACTGGTCTGGAGTCACAGAGATCTACCTGCCTCTGCCTCCCCGAGTTCTGAGATTACAGGCGTGCACTTAAACGGTGAAATTGGGCTGAGTGTAATGCCACATACCTCTAGTCCCAGCTACATGGGAAGCTAAGATGGAAAAATATTTGTGCCCAGGGCTATGCAAAACATTTAGCTTTTATCAGAAAGCAAATGAGAAGCACTAAAGGTATCTGAGCAGGGAAATAATATGATTAAAGCAGTATTTTTCTAATATTCTTGGGAAGTAACAGGCTGGAGTTACTTTCAGCAATAAGTAGTCTGACGTTAATGTTAGCCTTGTCAGCCACGCTTAGTGACACACGCTGGTAGTCCTCGCACTCAGAGGCTGATGTAGGAGGGTCACTAGTTGTAGCCATCCTGGCTACATACAGTCCTTGTCTTTAAAAGCTAATCTTGACTGGAATGGAATGTGTTGCCTTGTAGCCAAGGATGACTGAACTTCAATCCTCCTGCCTCCACCACCTCACAAGTGCTGGGCTTAAAGTGTGTGTTCCACCATTCATCGCTAGATAGTGAACACAGGCTTTATGTATACTGGGCATTCACTCTGCCCGTTATGTCCCCAGCCCCGAAACTGTTGGTTGGAGTGGTTTTGTGTATATTTTCTTGTTTTTGAAGACCAGTTCAGTTGGCCTTAAACTAGCAATCTTCCTGCTTTAGCCTTCTGAGTGTTGCAGTTACAGGAATGTGGTGCCTGTCTTGCATAGGTTTTGTTCTGGTTTTGTTTTTGTTTTATGAAGACAGGGTCTTGCTGAGTACCCCTTACTGGCCTGGAACTCACCATGTAGACCAGGCTGGACTCAGATTTGCTTCCGTCCCCTACCTTTATCTCCCAAGTGCTGATCTTACAAATCCAAGCCCCTATGCCTAGCTTTGCAACTGCAAAAGAAAAACAAAACAAAAAAGGAAAGAAAACAGAATTACCAAAATAGAAAAAAGTGGTAAATGCTACTTAGGGGGAAATATTTAAAGAAATAGGCCCAAATGGTAGTGGTTGATGTTAGTAGTGAACAATTTTTCTTGTTTTTAAATTTAATGTCTTTACTGTTGATCATGTGTTACTTTTCAATTAGAAATGTAAACTAATCAAAATGTTTAGTAGGTCATAGTGGAAGGGTTTCTGTTTGAATAACCATACAGATACAATTTACCAGGAAGCAAATAGAACATTAGTCCTGTTTCAGCCGAAGTGGCCTTCTTACATCAAGAAAGATGTGGGGTGTTTTGCTTTATTGTTTTGCTGTAGTGGGGACTAAATATAGAGCCTTGCACATGCTCAGTATAGAGCTACATTCTCAATAATGTGCTGGTGTTGATGTGAGAATAAGCAAAAAATGTTCTTCATCGAGTTGCTTCAAAGAGAGTGGGCGCCTCTCGTGTGGAATGCCCTGAATAGAAGAGCCAGGGTCTGCGTGTTCTCAGTAGAGACTTCTTGCCAGCCTCTTTGTCATTGCTGGCAGCAGGACTGCACTCTTGTTGGACCACTGGAATTAGCTTAGGTCACTACTAACACAGGAAGCAAAAGATAAATGGATGCATTTATCTTGTACTAACAGGTAGACAGAGGAGCTTATGTCTGGCCTTGGTGTGGAATCTGTCTCTAGCAGTTCTAGAGCCCATCCACAACTCCAGTGAAGGAGAAACCAAACCCTGAAGCAGAAGCTAAAGCATTCTGTTTTCCTTTTTATAATAACTTTTCTGACAACCATTGCACATATCCACTTTGCTTTCTTCTTTTCTAATTTCTAGGCAGTAGTAATGTTGGGGATACACTCCCCACGGGGCAGCTGTCCAATATCCCATGGCGTCGAGCAGGAGTAAAGTACACGAACAATGAAGCCTATTTTGATGTGGTTGAAGAGATAGATGCAATTATAGATAAATCAGGTAATTATGTACATGTGGCTTATAGGAGAAAAAACTTCAGTTGCTACAAGTTGGATTAAAAACTGAAAATCCTTGGCATGGTGGTTTTCAGCAGAAAAACATTCATTATCTAATGATTTATAAATCTTTTTGTTCTGCCCAGTGGTTACATATAATTACCATAACCACTAGCTATTGCCAGACGTTGTAAGTCCCTCTTGCAGTTATTCATCTGACAGGTATTATGTGACCCTGCTGCTTCCCAAATCTGTGTGCAGTGCTTCAGTTAAAGCCTCTTCTGTTTTTTTGTTTTTTGTTTTTTAACCAAGAAAATGGTGGTGGCAAATATCATAAAGTTTGATTTTTAAACATCTCATCCTGTCCTCAGGATTTACACATAAAGCAACTAAGACTCGGGACCATGTGGCCTGCTCAGCGTCACGTAGCTATTTGATTGATACATGGGGTTGGTGACTTACTTGAATAACAGGTTTTGTCCATCTTTTTTCCATTATCACCCAAGCTTAGTCCATTTCATATAAAATCCGCTTCACTTTAAAATTCTATTAAAATATTTTAAGCTTCTATCCAAATAATCTTAAAAGATTGACTCTCTAAAGGTTTGATCTTCCTTAGAATTATTCTCTAGCCAGTTAGGCGTAGCCAGTGAGAAATGCTGTTGGAACTGACCTGTTATTGAGGTGGTAAGCTTTGTAATTCTGATACCCAGATTGTGTTTCCATTACTCAGGGTATGTGACAGCTCTAGAAAAGACCCAGATTCCAATAAGGTTATCAGCTTTTTATTTCTTTCTTTAGGATCTACAGTCTTTGCAGAAATTCAAGGGGTCATTGATGCTTGCATTAAGCTGTCCGGAATGCCTGATCTCTCTCTCTCTTTCATGGTAAGTTTTGATCTGTTCTATAGTCTCTTGTATGCCTAAGATTTGAAATACTAAATGATATGATAATTACTGAGATAAAATTGTTATCTTAAATTCTGTGTTACTGTGTGTGTGTGTGTGTGTGTGTGTGTGTCTGTGTGTGTGTCTGTGTCTGTGTGTCTGTGTCTATGTGAGTTGGCATGCATCTCCCAGGGCAGCGTGTGGAGATCAGAGGACAACTTGCAGGAGTTGATCCCCTCTTTCCGCCCTGAGGAGCCTAGGGACCAAACTCAGGTCCTCAGGCTTGGCAGCAAGCACCCTTTACCTGCTAAGCCATCTCTTCAGCCCTAAAGTTTGTATATTAGGTTACAAAGGATTATCTCAGAAATATTTCTAGCACAGCTTTCCAGACAGTAGTGACACATTGAATATGGCCTTTATGGAAAGGTCAAAGAGAGGTCTTTACCAAGAGTGTGCTCAGAATTCACTGTCTGGCTTTTGTATTTCCACTGTCATTTTGACCAATATTTGCTTTGCTTATGTAAAGGGGCACTGATATTTTGCAGTTTATATTCAGCATGACACACTGCTAAAAACAGCTAAGAGAATTGTGTTCAATTCCATCTCTGTTACCTGTTTCCCTTGATTTTATTGAACCTCAGTTTTTATCTATAGAAAACAGATAATGCTACTTGCTTTTTCTCCTTATAGTTTATAAACTTCAGGTAATATATGTAAAGTATTTGCTAACTTTAAAAGTCATAAAACTACAAGGTTATTTTGAGGTTGTCATGATTCTTGCCCTGCTTTGACTGTGACTTAAGGAGCATATTAACTTGTCATATGTAAATGGTGTTGTCACACTCCTTATACTCTGTGCATATGGCTTTTTCTTTTCCTGACAGAACCCAAGGCTTCTAGATGATGTCAGCTTCCACCCGTGCATCCGGTTCAAACGTTGGGAATCTGAAAGAGTTTTGTCATTTATTCCTCCAGATGGAAATTTCCGACTCATATCATACCGTGTCAGCTCACAAAAGTAAATTGATGCATCAGCCAGATTTGCCAACAAGACAATTTGAATAGAATTCCCTGTTCTTGTTTTATTTTTACAGTTTAGTTCTTAAGTTTATCTGCTTTCTTTAGTCATGCTCACCTAGAGATGTAGTGAGAACTGGTGATGATATATATATACCTAAAACAATAAGTGTTTCTGGACCTGAAAGTGTAGAGGAGTAGTGAAAGAGAGTAGGTTAAAATCTGTAACTGAGAGCAAGCCTTTGTATTGTGCATGACCTGGGCAGACCATGAAGCTGCTGCCTTCATCCACTATGGTCTGTAACTAACAAGACAGCATACCCTAAGACATTCCATAAACTACCTTCTTTAAGTCACTGTTCTCCAGTCAAGGTTGGAGGTGGTTCTTGTTATCTGTAACCCAGGCCAGCCTCAAACTCTGGGTCCTGCTGCCTCCACCTCCTGAGTTCTGGGATTATTGATATGTGCCACCACACTTAATTTGCATTAAATTTTAAACAGTTTAACATTGTCAGTGGTAGCTAACTTGTCCCTTTAAAATGTCAGAAAGCATTTGGCTAACAAGACAAAACAAACTGAGAAATTATTTCTTAGCACTTTAAATTCTTGTAATGGGCTCTCTCTCTCTCCCTCTCTCTTCCTTTTTCCTCTCTCACTCTCTTTTTTAACTCTATCCCTTTATCCCAGTTGTTTATATGGTATTTAAAGCAGATTTCTGTTTTGGTTTGTGTATTTGTTACCAACCCATACAGTTCTAGCATACTGGTACTGTGCTGTCCTCAACAACCCTACTGCATAGACCGAGCCTACCAGGGTTACAGACACCATGGGACACAATGCTACACCTGGAGTTGTCCCACGCCTTTCATTGTGTACATATGTACTTTTTTATATATTTCTCTCTGTGTCTTTTTTAGTCTAGTGGCAATACCAGTGTATGTGAAACACAGTATCAGCTTTAAGGAAAACAGTTCTTGTGGCAGATTTGATATAACAATTGGACCAAAACAGAATATGGGGAAAACTATCGAAGGAATCACAGTGACTGTTCACATGCCAAAAGTTGTGCTGAATATGAACCTGACACCAACACAAGGCAGCTATACATTTGATCCAGTCACCAAGGTACAGCCACTTCAAATCGAGAGTCAGCAAGTGTTCTGCAATCTGTTTTGTGGTTGGAGTTGGAGGAAGTAGTTAGGAAAGCAATGCCCTTGCCTTGCTTTCACATGCTAAGGGTTTTCAGAGATCTACAAAAGCACCCTTGCTTCCTTATGTAAAAACCATGTAAAGCTTTCAACAGCCGAATAGTGTTTGGTAAATGAGAAAGTGTGTTTTGGTTTGGTTTGGTTTGGTTTGGTTGGTTGACTGGTTGGTGGGTGGGTGGTTTAGTTTGGTTTGATTTAATTTGATTTGATTTGAAATAGGGCCTTACTTGTAGCCCAACCCGGCCTGGAACTCAGAGCCACTTGCCTCTGCTCTGTGCTAAACTAAAAGCATGTGCTACTGCTCTTACCTGAGGTATACTTTCAAATAAACTCAGAGCATTTTGGGGGTGTTTTTTTTGGGGGGTGTCTTTTTTATTTTCTTGATGTAGCCCTAGCAGCCCTGAAATTTGCTGTGTAGACCAGGTCCAGAAGTCACAGATAGGCCTGTCTCTCTGTCTCCAGAGTGCTGAAATTAAAGGCATGCACTACTACACGTAGAGCATTACATTGGGGCTGGAGAGATGGCTCAGTGGCTAAGAACATAAACTACTATACAATGCCCAAATTTGGTTCCCAGCAATCACATTGACGGTACACAACTGTCTGTAACTCCATTCCAAATAATCAAATACTCTTCTGGCTTCTGTGGGCTCTGTACTCACATGCACAAATGCACATAGATACACACATACATAAAAGAACATCTAACTTCTGAAGAATTCATCTTAAGCCTTTCTAGGGACTACGTAGGTCTAAGCAGGGAGTTCCACGTCCTTGGCCCTCCACCCCAACTGCAGCTACACTTTCATCTATTACTGTTTCCACTGGGTTAAAAAAAAAAAGTGACTTTGCTTGAAGAAAGGATTCTGTAGCTGAATGTTTAATGGTAATAACATAAGCCAATTGTATATTCCAGGCTTCTGTTTTTCAAGACATTGCTTCATTTTGTGTAGAAGTTTATAGTATCGTTAACCTGTGAGCTTGTCTTTAACACAGAGTTCAGACTTTTTTTCTCTTATCTTTTTAAGGTACTAGCATGGGATGTGGGGAAAATTACTCCACAAAAGCTCCCAAGTCTTAAAGGACTGGTAAATTTACAGTCAGGAGCACCCAAGCCAGAAGAGAATCCAAGCCTCAACATACAGTTCAAGATCCAGCAGCTTGCTATTTCCGGTAAGGATAAGCTTGCTGTGTGTCCAGTGGAAACTGGGGCTAGGAGTTTGGAAGAGTACTAACAGTTCCACCCTGGAAAGAGCAGCAGCTTCAATTTGCCTTCTGCGTTGCTGGCCTCCAGGCACCAGGAATTTGGGAGCACAGCTTATCTCGGTCTCCTATCACACATACCCCACTTCACTTTCATTTAAGTGCCAGAAAAACAGTCATTTGTTCACAGAAAGCGGAGTTAGCTAGCTACAGAGGCATCTTAACTAAGGCCAAACTCCCCATAGTATAACATGTGGGTGGTAGAAAAGGGACATTGTTTCCAAAACGATGACGGAGCACTGTGCAGTGTCACATCCAGGGTACAGTGTTTATTGCTGAACAAGTACTGCATTATTACTGAGCTAGTGATGATTTATTTCGCTCTTTTTAACACAGGCTTAAAAGTGAACCGCTTAGACATGTATGGTGAGAAATACAAGCCATTCAAAGGAGTCAAATACGTCACAAAAGCTGGGAAGTTCCAAGTGAGGACATGAGAAGAGGCCAGACTTCCTCAAGATCAGTTTGTTTTCAAGTGTCATTACAGTTTATTACTATTAGGTACCAAGTGGGTGGGAATACGTATTCAAGCTACACTGCTAACAAAGTTGCTTAGTAATCAATGTCGTGTTCTTAAGGAGCTTAAGTTAAGGAACGTTTTCTAAAGACTTAGCTTATTTTGTATCTTTTCACTTAGGAAAAGATGTAGGTGATTTCTTCCATGGGGGCTACCAGCTGAATGCTGCACATTATCAGTCAAGGCAGAAGGCTATGGTGATCCCTCTCTCCTAAAGCATGTGAACTGGTCTCTTCCACCAGCAGGAACTGTCTCATTCCGTGACGTGTCAGGTGCAGCCAGGTGTCACACCTTCTGATCTTAGCCATCTCAATCAGTGTCTGTCCCAAGAGAGGAGATTGTCCCACCCAAGAAGTTTACAGAAAACTGCCTCTTGAAGTGTTTGCCTTACTCAGCTTTTCACTTGTGCCATTAAGCAAGCACTGTAGCAAAAGCCACTTCCACATGGCCCTGGCAGGGAGCATCGCAGCTCCATGCTCCATTCTCACTGTACTTGGTATTATATTTTTTATAAATAAGATTTTTATGTAAAGCTCAGATTTTGATTTACAAGGACCTTGCTGCAGTAAATATACCATCAATCTTGTGCCACCAGTCCAGCTGTTAGATAGCACAGTCAAATCATTTGCATCAAAGGGCAAATACTTTTAGATAATGAAAGGGAACTCTACTGCTGTTAGGAAGTTATTGCAGGCACAAGTGTTTGTGCTTGTAAACAATTAAAGTAGTAAAAGATAATTAAGCAGAACCTTTGTTTTATTAAAAAAAAAAAAAGACCTCATGTTTTATTAAAGCTTTATCTAATGACACTCTAACCTAGTTAGCCTGAAATCTTCATACCCTAGTTCAGCAAAGGGGGAGAAACGTGTTTCGCTACTGCTTCTTTCTTTTCAATCTTTTACCTTTTTGTGCTTAGATAGTTGAATTTGCCTGTATGCCCTCTATCTGGGGAGCACCTCTTCACCGTATGTATATCCCAAGGCCATTGTGGTAGACACATTCCCCCAAACTATTGTCAAAATGTGACTGAAGCACCTAGTGTCGCTGCTGTATACATGGAAGAACATTATACTGAAGGTCAAAATCCTCAGTAACGATTTATACCAATTGATCCTTATACTTGGAAAGTCAATCTGTGTCTTGTTTTATTCTGCATCTTTGATTTGGAAATCCTGTGCAATGATTTTGCCTCATTACACATAAAATGAAGGAAGGCTAAAAGTTAAGACAAAAGTGCTTGCTCTTCCTAGTCCCCTTGTTTTCCTTTAGATTACTCGTGTTGTCCTTTCTTTCATCTTTCCTTTACATGCTAAGTCTGTGTCGTATGCTTACTCCTTATTGGAGTACTGACGATACAGTAGCGCTGTCACTTTGCCTCATCTAATAAGAAAGGCAACTGTTGCAACTTCAAATAGAAATTTCTTGAGTAACCAATCTCAGATTGGCGATTTTTTTTTAAGTCAAAATGAAAAATATCTATTTCCTTTGACAAGATTGGTTATCTAGTTCCAGTATCTTGTTCTTTTACCTCAAAAGCAATCATAAGCTTCATTTTCTTCATTCCTGTATCTCACCATCCCTCCATACCCAGACTGTGCAACTTCCCTCTTGTGCAGTCTTGTCTATCAAAGTAGAGCTTATACCGAGTCTCTTCTCGCCAAGATTTTCTGCTAAAATAACTAAGTAGACTGTGTTCTTTTACAGTTAAATTATTGTATTTATTTTGACAGAACCCAGTAAGCCCTTTCTCTAGCTCTGGCTATAATGTCAATAAAAACATGAAAGCAACATACTGATTTTTTTTTTTTTTAAGTTTGAGAGTTGATGGAATACTCTCCTATTCATGCTATGTTAGAGCTGGCTGTATTGAATCAGTTTCTTCTATATCATAAAGTGTTGTAGTTATTTGAAAAACATTCAAGCGGCCTTTTCCTAAACAGCATACTCACAGCCATTCATCTCTTTAACGTGCCCCGTTTCTGGTCACAGACTAAGTGATAAAAATGATTACAACTGCCTTCTTCACCACTTCAGTATAGATCCAAGAATATCCAGCATTAAAAGGTTTTTCAAACATGGAGTTCTGGTTAATCCAGCATATTCCCTTTTTTTATTTTTAAGTAACCCTAATCCAAGAGCAAATTAAACATGCTTATTTTCTGCATGAGGTAGCCCCATCCCTTCCCCACTAGGCATTCAGCTGGTGGCTTCATTTCTTAAATGGTGCAACAGAAAAACCCTGGAAATATGCTGGTCTTATTGTCCTTAGAAGCAACTGGTGAGGAAAAAAAAAAAAAAAACTAAAGACAGTGTAGGTGGCACAGTGCCAGTAAACAAAGTGAAAAACAGAGGCTGCCAGGGACTGCTGAGCCAGTTCAGCAGGCTGCAGTCCATTTCTGGTTGTAAATGTCTATATCAACAGAATGATAAATTGCACCCGGTGGTATTGTTTAACCCCTTTTTTTTCTTCTTCAGTTCTAGAAAGTTAAGCAAAAGCGTAGGTTTTTTTGTTTGGTTGGTTTTGTTTTTGTCAGTGTTTCCTCTGGCAAGAAGTCAACTGTTCTTAAAGGTGATTCTGTCTCACAGTCCTAGTTCTGTACTGGGGTTGGGAACAAATAAAAGTGTCCCTTACATTTCACAACTTCAGCTTTTTAAGGGACAGTGGTAGTCTCCAATAATAGTTAAAATCTTCTTAAATGAGGGCCATTTCAAGGGGGGCTGACCCACATCTGGCTGCTTGGCCCACTGCAACTTGTGATTTCTGTTCCCCCTAATGTATCATTGCCAAGATTATCCTTTAACAACATGGCCCTCTTATGTAAATACACTATTAATTTCTACTCCTTTGTGGATTGAATAGAACTGTTAGTTTCCAGGTGTTGAGGATTAGCTTCAAAAAATGAAGAGTCTGACCCAAAGTTGTTACTAAAATAACATGTCCATCATTTAGAGCATTATTCATATAAATGTATTTTATTGTTTTAAACAGAACAGAAAAGGCAGAAAACATTTGCATATAATAAATCCTAGCTTATAAATGTAGTTTTTTAGTGGTGGCATTTCTAACATGTCATTCAGGGACTGTTTTCCTTTTGCCTCCTTATACTGTGAGCACTGACACTCAAGAAAAGCACATCTGGCAGACGTGTGTTTCCAGAACTGCACAAACTTGGAGAGCAAACATGATTTTTCTTAGTTCCTCTAAGTAATCTTTAGTAAAATAAGAGATGATCTTTGGCATAGATTCATACTTTAAAGGCATTGATATGCATTTATATCAGGTAAGCAACTATACAGATCTGCTGAGAGCTTTGAAAAGAATCGTTATCAGCTGAAAGGAAATAGGGGGAGCCTGAGTATACAGGATCAACATAAGATTTAAACATTCAGTGTTGGAATTGAACACACTACATATAGGAAAACATCCAAGAAAAAGGTCTTAGTCCTGTATTCATCTGGTTCTTCATTTCTGAAAGAAGCATTCATGTGCTGGGAAATACTTACACAGCAGGGATAAATGCAAGAATGAGGGAAGTCGCTTTTTTCTGACTTTTCCAATAGGAAACATGCCTTTCTGATAATTAGATACCATTCTCATTATTCTTGAATGCTTGTATTTATGGAAGGATGAAAAAGACTTGGTTATAGTTGGTTAAAAGCAATTAGAAACTATAATAGCCCCTACCGATTTATCCAGAGCAGCACCAGAATTATAATCTGCAAATGCTTTTTTCCCTACTCAAGAAGGATCTTTCAGCAGGACTACCTTTCCATTCAAGCCTCTTAAGGAGCAAGCCCTAATTCCTGGGACTTAATTTTGAATGGACCTTTCAAAGTTACAAGCAAAGCCAAGTATAATGGTAGGAGCTAGGCTGACACAGATAGATCATTTGAATCCAGAAGTTCCAAGACTAGCCCAGGCAACATAAGGAGACCCAGTCTTAAAAAAGAGAAGGTGGGGGATAAAGGGATTACAGACAAACACATACCTATATATCTTTAACATCTTAATTAAGAAGCATATAAAGGAAGATTGCCAAAGAGTAGGTGATTTGGTTAAAAAATAAATGCAGCATTTCAGCTCAGAAATTAAGAAAGAAAAAAGAGCTAATGAATGCATGCTAAAGCCTCAGCATAGACCTCTATTGGCAGTGACAAAGCATAGAAAACCTGGGAGTGGCCCCACTGGGAGGATGGGCAGGATCACACCCAGCTACTCTGCCCCTCTAGTGGCAGAGAGCACCAGTGTGTTTGCAGAATGGTTACCTTGGCAACCAAGCAAGGCAGGATGTGAGGCAGGAAGTTTCCCTAACACATATTACATACTGGGCATGGTAAAGACAGAATAGTGATTTCCTCCCAACAGTGAAAGTTGATTTTACATTGTGAGGAACTAGGATTACTTGGGGAGAAAGCAGGAAATGACTCCAGACCACACAAGCTGGACTTCCCCAGAGACCACCTTTTTCCTGCAGCACGATGCACAGCCCAGAGAAGGTAAGCAGAGTCAGCAGCAATGTGGAAACCCAAAACAACTTTTAAAAGCAGTTATTCATTGACTTGCCTCAGCTCTAGGTCTTGAGAGCCTAAAATGGGGAAAGGGAGTTGGTGAACCGTAAACAGGGGGAAATGTTTCCTGGGGACAGAGCAGGGTGTCTGTCTAGTGTTCACTCTTATTCTGAGCTTATATAAAATCCATGGGCTAGAGACCCAGTCCTCATTACTGGGAGATTGTGCACAGGAGTAACCGTGAGAGCACAGGGTTTACACAGAGACAGATTTCAAAGTGTCCATGACAGAAGTATAAATGTTTTCTACATGAAGAGGCCCCATTCCTTTCTCGTGTGTGAGACCAAGGATTGATTTTTTTTTTTTCACTCCCTGCAACTCTGAATGGCTTCTGGAATTTAGATGGTTCTCTTCTCTTTAGCAGAGGTTCATGGATCAGCCTGGTGAGGTGCCTACTGGTACCAGGGAGTCTTTCTGACCCAACGCAGAGTAAATCCAGCATCTGTTCGAATTTTGATTGAAGCGGCTTCTGCTTCTCGCACTGTCTCCTTCACAGACTGCATGAGGTTCTGGGCATTATGCACCAGCATCTCTGTGGCCTGCAACAAAAGAGGCCTGTTACTGTAGTGCCTAATGCAGTGCTGCCTTCGAGCAAGCATGAAGCCAGGAGTGGACTGCAGTTAACCTCACCCACCTGCACTGGATCTCATACTTGCATGCATCACTGGTGGTTTAACTATACAGTCAGTGATTGCACTATGTCCTCATACGGCTGACTCATACTTGATTTTTCAAAGGTGGTATTCTTTCAGTACTCCTGCTTTTTCCTCTACCTGTAACGCTTTTTTGTCCACGGAACCCAGGCTCCTCCTCCGGTGTCCTTCAGATCTTTGCTAAGCTGCCACCTTAGGAAACCTTTCCTTATATTAAATCGCACTATAAACTCCTAGCATTCTTCACGTGAAGTTATTATTTTCTTCACAAAATTCATCACTAATTGGCATGCTATATATTCTACCTACTGTTTGAAGGGTGGGTTTTTTGTTTTGTTTTTTGATTTTCGGGGGTGGGTACTTTGGTTTGACATATCCGTCTGTACCATAGGGCAGAGATTTTTGTTAGTTTTGTTCACTGCTCTCCACTACTTAGGACAGTAGGCATCTCAAAAACAATGAAAATAATCAAACCAAGCCACCAACTACCTTAGAAATGTAAGTATGTTAATTTTTAAAACACAAATTTAGAGGACAGGGATCGAGTTGAATGTCTGTTCATACCCAGACAACTCAATCATTCTTTAGGGCAGATTCTAACTATCTATAAGTCATAGACCTTTTGAGGATTTAATAAAGGCTGTACGGTTTCCCCAGAGAAATATGTCACATGAGTGAAATGTGAACATAAACTTCAGAGGGCTGTAAGAAAAGTCCCTACAGTCTAAATTCCTAACATTGGTCCTCTTACTTGTTATGATGGGTCTCAGGCCTGGAAAAGCTTGGAGCCTTGCCAGCCAATTCACTCCACGAGACAGGATCCACCTAAAACTTCTCACTTGTATCCTGTGTTTGTTCTAGTCTACCATACTATTTCTACCTTTTTTGATTTAATGGAACACACATAGTCCCAACATGTATTTTGTTAACTAACTTCAAATGATTTCCAGTCTCATCCTTCCTTTCCCAACTTTTCCTATTGTTAGGCAGAAGACGCTCCACCACGGAAATCAACCCAGTACCAAACTCCACTTGCACTGTATGGAGGTTAGGGATTTTGAGGAAGTTCCCGTGGTAGGGGAGATGCAAGCTGCTGGATTAAAATAATGGTAGTGGCGGCAACAGGAAAGTGTCCTTCATGTTTCCTCAAAGGTGCAGTGGGTGCCCCTAGTCTCTGTAGAGGTCAGAAGCAGTTGGTCTCCCAAATTGTCTGTGAGTTCACCAATGGGGCGAGATAGACTCTCATTTTAACTTTTAAAATAATGGCGGGTCCTCCGTGGGTGATACAACCAAGATGTCTTCACCATAAGAAAATCAGGAGTGTGACTCAGAATAGGGCTCAGCAGAGGGGGAAATAAGGAAAGGGAGGGAGGATTGCTGAATTCTCACTTCAGAACTAAGTTTGTCGTCAAGCTGAACTAAAACAGCAAAGAAGCTCGAGCAGAGCATACAGAGCGGCAGCACGTACCTGCTCGGATTCCTCGTCACTGATGTTGGTGCGGCCCAGCATGGTCGCCTTCACTGTGGACAGGATTTTGAGCTGGGTGCTTATAGTTGGGATCCGCTCA